GTTCTGTTAGATATATGGAAAGGTTGTGAAAGTGTATCGTTGGTTAGGACTTTGGCAGAAGGGTTAGAGTAGAGAGATAGGATTGCCGATAACATCCAATCTGTTATTCCAAATTTTTGGAGTGTAAGTTTCATAAATTGCCAGTGAATTCGGTCAAATGCTTTTTTTCCGCATCTAATGATAGGAGGAGGGAGGGAGGGTTGGTTGTCGGATTCAAGATAGTGTAGTAGGGATATAATTCGTATAGTAGCATCTGGAGCTTGTCTACCAGGTATAAATCCCACTTGGTCTGGGTGGATTAGTGTAGGTAGATAGGGGAGTAGTCTTTGGGCAATTATTTTGGCGTATAGTTTTATATCCGTGTTGAGTAGTGAGATCGGTCTGTAATTCTGAACCAATTGGGGATCTTTGCCCAGTTTCGGGATAGTGGTAATTATTGATTGTAGCATGTCAGAGGGAAATTCCCCGTTAGAGGCAACATGGTTGTATAGAGCAGATAGATGTGGTGTAAGATTGGGTGCAAATGTTTTGTAAAATTTGTTAGTAAAGCCATCATTCCCTGGTGATTTGTTTAAAGGGAGGGTTTTTATGTTTTTTTCTATTTCTGTGGGTGAGATTGGTACGGAGAGAGCTTTGAGTTGAGACGGGGTAATTTGGGGCAAGTTGATGTTAGTTAGGAAGTTTTCAATGGATATATATTCGTTGGCTGGGTTGTATTTGGGTCGTCTTTTATATTGTATAGTTTTTGGTAATAAGACGTGAAAGCGTTGGCTATGTCTTGTGGGTTTGTTAGTGGGGTGTGTGTGGTAGGGTGTTGAATTGTGGGGGATTTTTGGTTTTAAGTCATTTTTGTTTAATGATTTTGGTCAAGAGTGAGTTAGCTTTGTTACCAAAAGCGTAGAATTTAGATTTCGTTTTTTGAAGATTAATATCCTAGTCGTGAAGTAAGATGGTGCGTAATTTGTTTCTATCTAGATTTAGGGCCGCGGATGTGGAGGGATTTGGGTTCTTTTTGTTGATCTCTGCGTTTTTAATTGGATGGCGGTCAATAATTGGTCAATCTGTTGGGGACCGTTGTCTGTTGATAGGGAGTTTAGTTGTATGAAGATACCTCATGTAGGCCTTGTATGCTGGCCAAAGTGTAGTAATAGAAATATCTGGGGTGGAATTAATGTCAAAAAAGAGATTGTGGGCTTCTAGTAGATGTTTTTGATTCTCAGGATTTTTCAGGATCGAAGAGTTTAATCTCCATATGGGCGGGATTGCCGAGCGTTGATTGTTGTCTAGGGATATGTTGATTGGAGCGTGGTCTGACCAGGTTATGGTGCCAATTTTTGACGATGTTGTAATGTCCATTTGTCGGTAACGAAAAAGACGATTCGTGAATATGATAGGTGAGAAGGGGAGTAGTAGGTATAGTCTCTCTTGGTGCAGTGTTGACATCTCCAGATGTCGTAAAGATCGTGGTCATGCAGGAAATGGTTGAAATTAAGTGTGGTGGGTCTTTTGCTGGAGGACGAATCTAGAAGTGGGTTGCCCATAACGCTAAAATCACCACCAATGATGAGTCTGCCTTGTTTATGATTTGAGATGATCTTGTATAGCTTACGGTAAAATTGCATCTGTTTGCTGTTCGGACCGTAGACGTTTACTAAAGTGTAGGTAATATCATTGGCATACTAAGATGTGATAGCGTCCATGTGGATCGGCTGTTTTTGAAATGGTGCGGAATGAGATAGAGTCATTGACGGCAGTTATAACTCCATTCTTTTTTCTTGATGTTGGTTGCCATAAATATTTGGGAAATGCGGTGGAGATGTAATTTGGGAGTTTTTCCTGTAGCGAAATGGGTTTCTTGTAGGAAAAGTATGTCGGCTTGGGATTTCCGGGTTTCTTTGGAGAGCATCGATCTCTTGAAAGGAGAGTTTAGGCCTCGTACATTGAGAGATGTGATATTAATCATTGGTAAGTTCTTTTTTCAGGTGTATATTTAGTTGAGCTGTTGTTTGAGATAATCGTGGTTCAATAAGTATTGCTTTGAGAGGGAAAATGGTAACATTGCTGTAATATGGATTAGGCTCGATTGGGGAGTTAGGGTGAGTATTCCAGGAAAGTTCAAGGTTGCTGGATCTTGGGATGTAGGAGATTAGCTGATGGTGCCGTGGCAGAAGGAAGGTAGGGACACAAAGAAGAATAAAAAAACACTTGCGTAAAATGCAAGTAATCCGAGTAGCTTGAATTGCTACTCCAGAAATGGGGGGTTTGAACAGGCTTTGACCGCCGAGGGGTCATGCCAACTATTGTCATGTAGAATGAACATCGTCGGGACTAGGCCGATCGCCAGAATGTAGTATGCTGAAATGTGGCCTCTGGGGAGAGGTATAGGTTTGCTTGAGCGTGGAGTGTGCTGCGTTGCTGGTTATGATGCCTCCATGTGTTGGATGGAGGTAGATGCAGTTTCCTGTGTGTCCGTGGGTAGAATGTTCCATGTTTTGAGTAGGTCGAGGCCTGCTTCCAGGGTTTTGATCGTAAAGATCCTGCTTTGTTGCCGTACTTTTAGCTTTGTGGGGAATCCCCATTGGTAGGCTATGCCGTGGTTTCTTAAGGCTTTGGTGATGGAGAGCATTTTTTTCCCTGTTGAGAAGCGTGGCTTTTGATAAATCCGCGTAAAGTCGGAGACTTGCGTGTGATGGCGGTGGAGGTGGATTTCTAGCCGCCATCATAATTTTTTCCATTATGTGGTAGAAATGTATGTGGGTCAACACATCTTTTGGAATAGATGCTGACAGAAATGAAGGCTTAGGTAGTCGGTGGGCTCGATTGATCGCAAGCTCTATGTCAGAGAGTGATGGGATGAGGAGTTTGATATATTGCTGTAAGTAAGGTAGCAGTGCCTCGTTAGTGACTGATTCAGGGATCCCTCTGAACTTAATGTTGTTACGGCGTGATCGATCTTCTAAGTCGGCTAATTTTAAGTTGATTTGTTCGATGTCAGATGAATGATCCGCATGAGCGTCGATCAAATCATTATGTGCCGTGATTATATCTCCCATGTTAGTTTCAATGTGGAGTATTCTGCATTCTTGTTGTTGCACCACGTTAGTAATTTGATTTAGGGATGTGGAGATGTCATTGTGCAGGGTTTTTGTCGGAGTGAGGAAAGCATGTTTTTCATGCATATTTCCGTTAATGGCTGGTCTGATGCAGGAAATGCATCTATGTCAGGCAGGGCTGTGTGAGGTAGCTGAGGTGGGAGGTTTAAGGCCTGGTATGAAGGGCCCGAGTCATGGTCGAATCGTGGCCGAGACTTGGCTGGGCTGCTAGTGGTGGGGGACAATGGGGGTGACAACTCACCAGGGTCCCCTGGGTATAGTGATTGGTTCAGCCTGGGATCCATTTGCTGGGTCCTGTAGTCCCCCTCATAGCTGCTGCTGTCTCCCTGCTTGCTGCTGCTGGCGCCATCTTGGATTTCCCGGCATGACGGCCGGGAAGAATTGAGTGAGTTTCCCTGACTGCCCCGGGATTTTTCTCCTGCGGGGCATGTCTGCGGAGGTACGGGCACACTTCAGGAAGGTGAGTATACTGTTTTTTTTTCCAGTTCCAGGGCTGGTGTGAGCCGTTTTGGTGCTGGCGGATGGACAGAGCTGCACTCAAAGCGCGTCCATCCAGGAGTCGGGCCGCGCATGCGCCCCTTCACTCAAATTTTATAGGGATAGATACTATCATCCTGCACTGGAGAGGGACACATAAAACCAGGGCAGTCTCCCAACTGGAGACTAAACACATTTTTGAGTTAGGTACCTTACACCCAGCAGGACTCAATATTGAGTTGGATGTAAATAGTTTTTATTGACAATAGTTAATTTATCTGCATTTTCTATGTGTGTTGCATTTCCTTTTAGCATGAATTATTATTATATTCTTTTATTTTTTTATTTTATTTAGTTTAAAAACAATTTACATTCGTATTATATGGAATTACAGTTCCAGTACATTCGATATTCGTCTTAGAACGATTTTGTGCCAATTTTTTTGGATGTCTTAATTTTATAAAACATAAAATATATAATTTTTATATTATAATACAACATTTTTCATAATTTTTTAATATATTGGATTGGCCTTATTTCCCTTAAATTTTTTACCATTTCATTATAACAGGTATTTTAATGTCATCATTTTTTGGCTTGATTTTAATTTTATTTTTTGGACAATTTTGATACTATTTTATATTAATTTTATATGCCATTTGACTATCAACTGATACGAATATTTAATAGTTCGGTATCATATTTTTCTTACGATAAACTCATAAAGCAGAGCAATCATCCTTAGCACTCATTTAAATGATATGTCTATGATATTTATATTGACTTATTTAGGTATTCTAAGCATTAACACACCTGTAAAAAAACCATTAGTTATATTTATCCCGAATCTCTTAATATATTGGAGAAGTCTGACATCCAAAATCTATGGCAGCATATCGCATTGGCGCACAAACATACGCATAATTTCAACCTGTGTAAAATCAGTAGCAAAATGGCGCATGAGCGCACGCTAATATACAATCTTAGGTTTCTACAAAATGGCGCTGGCTTGATGCACATGTGCCATTTTGTTTATTTAAAGCCTTTAGTCTCGTCATGGCGTCAATGGTTTCTTTCTCTGATGAAGTGCATGCGCATGTAAAGTGTAAAGGAGGAGCCAGGACGTCATGACGCTACGCCGCCAGAGCACGTAGAGGCCCGGCGGCCATCTTTGACTCTGGAAGGTTAGTTTACTTCTACACCCCTGATGCGGTTTCCATTCGCTTTTACTTGTTTGCAAACATCTTTTTACCCAATTAATTAATATCTAATTTGAAATACTACACTATGGTCATCCTTCCCTGACTCCTTTCGAGGAGTATTTATTTGCTGAGCCCATTATTGTGATCCAGTTACCTTACCCAGAGAACGAAGACATCCTGTAAGCAGGCAGCCTCTTCTACCCATCCCGTAGCCTCCCTGACGGTATTCCTGAGTGTAGCTCTGGGTAAAGTTTCAGTACCACAAGCGGTAACCCCGAGCTACACTCGGGAATACCATACGGCGCTGCTCCGGGATCTGTTCTTCACTTACCTTGTCCTGTGCTCCAGCGATGTCCCTCCTATAGTGTCCCCGGCAATGTAATCCGGCGGATGCCGGCATCTGTCATCTGTGTTCCGTCCCCTGCGAGCGTCGGGACGTACGGGGGACGGAGCGGCGGGAAATTTGAAAATGACAAAAAGTGACATTCACTAAATACACTAAAATCACATAGTAAAACATTACTGTATCAATTCATTTCACATACATTTTGTCCCTAGTGCTTTGTCCTGTGCTCTGCCTGCATTTTTACTGTTCTTTCTGCCTGGAAACTGAGAAACGTCCATGGCGTCCAAAAAGCGTCCCTTTAGGTCAAAATCAGTTTTAGAACAGCTAGAGAATAGCAATAGTAAATTAGAACCACTTGCAGAATTGAGTGATAATGATTCATGGGGAAATTCGTCATTAGACACTGAAAACGATTTTGCGTCTTTGCTCAGTGATGTGCGAACTTGGTGCTATATTTCAAATTTCAGTGTTTATGGTTTGATTATATTATTAAATTACATTTATTATTATATTATTATTTTTTATGATTATTTATTCAATTATAATTTATGATTATGTGTTTCAAATTTTATCCTACCCGGGATGTTTACTAGACTCTTGTTCAGACAGATTTCAGTGAGTTATTCCTAAAAATAAAAGGCCTACAATAAAAAAAATACGTATTTCCATGCAAAAAAATGTACCGCTTTGAGCACAGAAATATGGACATATTCAGACCACTAGGGAGGTTAAAGGGACCTCTGGTTATCTGGATCCTAGTAATTTTGATTCCGGGCATTTGATGACTACTACCCTGAGGGAGGATCACCATAACCTTGACCAGACCTATATCTGATGAGGAAACCCCTGAATGTGATACTTAATGCGTATAACTATTACGCATCTGGTGAGTGCGTCATTCTGCCATATCTCACGGAGCACCGCCATTGAATTTTAACCAGTCACCTGGCACTTTATAGTCACACAGACTGTTGTTTTTATTAAACTCTGATCATTTTATATATTTTTTATACTGTCAACCATAGTTTTAGCTCTGCACTGATTACTTATTCTGTTTGTAAGGTTTATGTTGGTTACCTTGAGTGCTTAGCTGCTGTTTGGATAGCGCTCACTTTTACATCTTGGATATTGATATTGATGAACTATCTGAGAGGCTAACTGGGGATTCAAAAAAAGCAGGATAAGATATGAGGAGAATGCAATAGAGAAGGCTAACAAGTTGGCACACACTGGCCTCTTTGTACGTAGAAGATGCTTGAGTTGGAAATTCAAGTATGCTTTATATATGGTAGAGGACAGCCTTTCTTATACGTTGACAGACATGCAGAGACATGCACATCACTTGGAAGTTCCCTTAAAATAGAGAACATGGTGCAAAGACACATTACATCCAGGTCATTTAAATGTCTAAACTCATCATGCATGCGAACAGCATACATTTCATGCAATTTTCTCTCAACATATGTACTATCACTTTATCCATCTTTGGAGCAACCTGCCAATGTTACCCTTGATGGAATGAAGAAAACCAGCTTTGTGTGGTTAGATTTGTCTGTGTGTAAACAGAAACAATATTTACAATATGGATATAATTTAAACTGGTATTAAACCTAAAAGCAAACATTTCTTATATTGCAGCTAACCATTTCTTAGATGCGATGGTTGCATTCGTTTTCCCTTTTAGGCTGTCTTTTATTTTCATCTAGTGATCCAGCCAGTAAGGGCTCATGTACACTGCAGCTGGTAAACTCATGTTTAGGAGCTGTTCAGCGTTTTTTTTTCAGCAGCCCCTGAACTCACCCTAATGTTTTCCTATGTGTCCATGGACACATCTTTGTTTACAGTCATTTACAGGCAGTTGAGTTTACAGTCGTTTTTTTGAACGAAACAAACTTGCGTTCAGACGTAAATTTTATCAGCGTTTCAAATGCAAACCGCTTGTAAACGTGTCTAAATGCATCTAAAACGCGGCAAATTGCATTTATAAGCATTTGCGTTTGAAATTTTTTTTTTTTTAACTCTTCCAGCTCCCAATGCTGTTCAGAGCCTTTTTTTCATCATGAAAAATGCATGGAAAGAGTTTTCAAGGTGCTCAGATGGACAAAACACTTAACACAGGATGTTCCTACCAAGCTTGTCACACATTGTAATGACCAATTCACACTTCAGACCTCTCCCACCCTTGGAAACAAAAGATATGTTAATGACCATTCACACCTCAAATTCCTCATGACAACCCCCTGCCAGGTGACCCTAATGACTCACTCCAGCAGACACCTTCCCACCCTTGGAAACAAAAGAAATGTGAGCAACTCGCACCTAATTATCTCAACACATACTGCTCTCTGCTTCTACTGTGTGTATTTCTCTGAAACAGTCTCAAATAGTTAATAATTTACCACTTTTCAGTGCATTCTGGGCATTTGGGAGGTTCTCATGTGCTTATCTTTAAAAAATGCTTCTAAACACAAACGCGCATAAACGTGTTATGCAAACGTGGCTAAACAGTCGTTTTTTAACCTACGTTTTCCAGAGTTCAGAAATGTCCCATGTACATGGGGCCTAAGTATGGTGTTTTTCTAAAGAACAAGCTCTCTGGCAGAATACAGAGATGTAACAAATCATTTATTAGTGACAGGGAAGATTACAATTATCAACTTTTATTTATGTAAAACCTTTATCCCTCCAAAAAAACTGTTTGCTGTAACTGCTTATACAGTATTAGCTGAAAGTTGGCTTCAATTTGTTAGTGTACTTAATCTGCTGGTACATCTAACACTCCCCTCCTCCCAGACTGACAATGCTGCTGTCCAAAGGTGCCCCCTGTGCTCATTCATCCAGAGTGGGGCACTATAATACAGGAGGTATGTTACTGGCCAGATCACCAGGTAAAAACAGAGGGGGGGAAGCCTAAGAAAAGGAAACTGATGCAGGTACCATATCTAATGATTGGTAAGCCATAATGTATTACATTTTTGGTTTTGGATTTATTACCACTTCAAAACAATATAGTTTATTACATTAAATTCATTACATTGCCCCCTCACACTCCCCTTTCCCTGACATGAAAAAAATTTGACTTTTAACTTACCTTAAGCCAAAGTCACATGATCCTCCAGTGCCAGGTCCCTCTCCCCTATGCTTATCTCCTGATTAGGATCCTTCTTCTAGGTGCCCACATCACTGGCTGTGTGATGTGGCCAATTTAAATTTTACTAGCACATTGGTACCAAACCAGGCATAAACGAATCTCTAAATAACCAAGCTTATCTTTTGGAGGGCATGTAGTATGGGTACTATATTTAATTTTGCCAGCTCATTGGTACCAAGCCAGGTGTTAAGGAATCTCTAAATAACCAACTTTTGGAGGGCATGTAATTTAGTTTATTCAGCTGGCCCCTTCTATGTATTTATGTTAATATTAATATTATAACGTACATCAATTCCACCCTCAATCTCCTCTATATTTTTTATTGAAGATACTGTCAATATATATATATATATCTATATATATATATATATATATATATATATATATACATTACACACACACACACACACCACACACACACATATATATATATATATATATATATATATATATATATATATATATATATATATATATATATATATATACATACACGGTTGTGTATTTTGTGCTATATAGCTGCTCAAGCATTCGTCTTGCCTCTTGCCCTATTGGAGATTTAAATGATCTAAACTGCTATTTATATTAATAAAAACAATTTGGTAGATTTTAGTTTATATTCGGAAAATGTAGTGTTTGGTTGGGGCTCCTTATAATATTTAACACTATTCCACCTATCCCATGCATATGGGGCTTGTTAATTCATCCTCCCTCCATGCCACTTAGCCTGGCCTTCAGATACAACTTCCATAACCTAAAACAAGACGCTCTCTTTCTTGTTTTCAGTTTGCTCCCAACCTTTTTTGATAGGGCTCACAATAACATGGGTAAGAGTGTCAATGCACATCTCCCACAGTGAGCTTACTGTCTGAGAGGCAGGAACAATTTCACACCTATCCTATCAAGTCTTTGGACCTGACCATTTGTTCATACTTTTTTATAATGTTGTATAATGTTTCAGGGAACCCTGCTGACAGCTGAAACATGAAAAAATGTTTCACTACTAAAATACAGCATGACTTAATAATATAACTCATGCGGTATTTTAGTAGCTGAGTGGTATCTTACCGCATACTCAGATGTGGTAAGATACCGCTCAGTAAATTGTCCCTGTTCAAAGTTTGCTCTCTAACTTTCAGTAGGTTCTAATGCTGGACCACGAACTGAACAGGGGGGTGTTCAGCCCATCACTAGTCCCTAGCATGGCTCACATATAATAATATTAGAAATGGCCAAATCCCACTTTTCCAAGAAAACATTGTCTTCATTCATGTTCCTACAAAGCCAGGAAAGAACTTGGGTGATTGAATAAAATAGTTCTCTTCTCTTCTAAACACATATGAAAAAATAATTACAAATTTTTGGCCAACAGGATTAATTCCTTCTTGTGCCGTTATATCTATAGAGATGAAGTAGACTGTCACCAAATACCAGGCCTCAGATCAAACTAGAAGCGTTTTAAAACTTATTTTGTCAATTCTATCAAATTGGTAAAAATAAGAGGATAAACAGACTATTTTTCTCCCATTAGATCTCCAATAAGCATTCGACACAATAGTCTGGGATTATCTCATCCTTATTCTGCAGAGTCTAGGTTTGGTCTGCAAATTCCTTACAATTGCTTAAACTCATTACAAGTATCCCTCTGTTGCCCTTTTAGTGAAAGGTTACAAATCCCAGAGCTTTATAATTCAGGGTCATGCATCAGGGATACCCACTTTCCACAACAATATTTATTTTGGAATTCGAACCCCTTGCCATTGTGAGGCAAGAGAATCCAGACATAAAAAGATATTCTTTGCGGAGGCCAGGAACACAAATCTGCATTTTTTGTGGACTAAATCCTATTGTTTATCGCCTTTCCAATATCTACTATTCCTAACCTCAAAAAAAATCTACAACTATTTTCAGCTAACTCAGGCTTCAAAATAAATCAGTTCAAATCCCAGGCTCTTAACATTTCCCTGGACAACCAAACTCTCAGGAATTGACAACAAACTTTCTGGGCATCAACCTGACTTTCTGGAATCTATATCAATGAAACTATCTA